TATACGGTATTTTCAGATTTTTTGATTTTTAAATATTCAAGAGTTTCAACTGCTAGGCATACGTTTTTCACTGTGCAGCAATATTAAGATTACATTTTTGGAACATTTGATTTTGATATATCTTTCAATCTTTCCTTTTACAAGAGAAGCACAATTTTTTTTCACGAGTATCCATTATGATAGAATAACAGCTAATAGCTAGTATTTCAGAATTCCGTATATCGCCAAATGACACACAATTCTGACAGATTTTGTGGTGGTGGTTTGTACACTACAGATTCATTTTGTACTTGCTATCAACTATTTCATTTAGAAAAGTTCCTTTATGATTACATTTCAGTTATGTTAATCATCTCTACTCATTAGGACTTGGAACACCATATGGTTTTAAAGGACACTGCAAATGTGTGGTAGTATAATACTAAATTGATAGGCGTCGATTTCCTAAATTAGGTCTGGACATTCCTCAGGTAGTTCTAATAACTGTGAAAGTAGTAAAATGTAAGTGAAATGTACAACTATTGCAGGAAATCATGAAATATACTCAACTGGGACAATGCAGTTTTCGTGAATACCTGCGTGTGCCAGCGGTTAAGAACACTGCAAAAGTCCAGAAGAAATGAAAACGTCTCGTTAAGCTGATGGCGCTTCTGGGAGGGGAATAAGAAACGTACTTTATGGTTTTTACAAATTTAAATTTTTCACTATCAAGAGGATGTGGATGTGTGTGGACGTGGATCGGCCACTCAAGAGCACTCCATCGAACATATAAACAAGCTCTTATCGCAGATTGGGAGCTCCAAAGACGTGTCATTCAAAATCGACGTGTCTAATATTATTTTTACAGGTGAAATTATAGCTACTAGAAAGGACAACGCAGTCTGTTCTATTGACTTACCTCGTAATCAATGAATCCCAGTTGTACTATAATAATTTGCTAATAACCATTTTTTATGGGTACTCCTTATGTTTTATTGTCAAAGCTGTCACTGAAAGAATCTAGATATATGAGCAACAGCTCTGATTACGATCCTGGGTTTTATCAGAGATTTACAACCGATTTATTATTGCGAACGTTACAAACACAAAAATATTACTCGCCGATCAGCTGTTCTCCTCAGTAGACGTAAACGCAATGGATACCGGTGAAATAGGTTGTATGTGAATCATTCATAAAATATATGCTCGACATCTTGAAACTATACTGACATATAAATCCGAACACCCAGTTTAAATGGTTTTATTTTAATAAAAGTTGGTGAATGTATTTATCTTACTGTAAATAACAAGTGAACAAATTTTCAGTCTTATCAGTTGGACATTCCGGTTTTTAGACTGCTTTTTTTTAATTCACCAGCGCTCTAAAAATGAATATTTCAGCCGCAGTAAAGAATCAACGTTGGCGGATTTTGGTTCTTGACATCCTTTACGATCGGTTACAATGCCTAGAGTACGGAGACCTGTACGATTTCGTCAACTTAGTGAGTTTGATAGGGGCCGTATAGTGGGACTTCGGGAAGCTGGACTTTCTTTTCGGGCAATTGCAGTTAGAGTGCAAAGAAGTGTAGACACTGTGGTTAGGTGTTGTCAGGCATGGCTTCGAGAAGGCCGTACGCAAAGAGCAAGGGGCACTGGACACCGCCGTAGAACAACAGACCGTGAAGATCGCCGCCTAAGATTATTGGCCTTAAGGGACCGTTTCTCCACTACCAGGTCCATTGCAAATGAATGGTTTGCAGAACACGAAAGACCTATTGGCATGCGAAGTGTTTACCGACGAGTGAGAAGTTTTGGCTTGTTTTCATACCGGCCACACTGGGTCCTCCCTTTAACTCAAGAACACCGTCGTAATCGCCTTGAGTGGTGCAGACAACGGTCACTCTGGGATCAGGGATGGAACAGTATTGTCTTTAGTGACGAGTCTCGATTTTGTTTAGGCATGCACGATGGTCGTGCCAGGGTTAGAAGGCGACGTGGTGAAAGGAGGAATCCACAGCTTTTTGTTGAAAGACATGTTCATCACACTGTTGGAGTTATGGTTTGGGGTGCTATAGCTTATGGTTCCAGGTCACCTTTAATCTTCATCAGAGGTAACATGAACGCGCAGCATTATATCCACGAAGTTCTAGAACCCCATCTTTTACCCTATCTTGACACCCTGGCAGATCCAACTTTCCAACAAGGTAATGCCCGACCACATGTTGCAAGAGTCACAATAGACTTCTTTCAACATAATGATGTCACATTGTTACCATGGCCACCAAGATTTCCCGACTTATCCCCAATTGAGCACGTGTGGGATATGATGGGTAGGAGATTGCTCAATTTGCAACGTCCTCCTCAGACTCTAGAAGCACTTCGAGATGAGTTAGTGGTTGCCTGGAATGAGATACCACAGGAGGACATTGACCACCTGATCAGAAGCATGCCTAGGCGCGTTGGAGAATGCGTAGCACATCAGGGTGCATCCACACATTATTAAAGGTCAAAGGGCTTTAAAGCAGTGCAATCATTTTGAAATTTTTGTCATTTACTTATTATGCTTCATTAAGTACTTATACAAAATTTTATTAAAATAAAACCATTTAAACTGGGTGTTCGGATTTATATGTCACTTAGTATACATTCTTGTTGGAAGTGGGTAACGCCAGGCCCCATAATGTTCAATTTTGACGCTTGCTGAATTTAAATTTTGTAGGTTTCTGGGCTACCTTTTAAAGGAGGTTACACTGGAAACAGAAGTTAAAAACTGCTTGATGTGTCGCAGGACCAATTCGGATTTGGGATAAACTAAACCTAAATTATCCTTACCTATACAGGGTGTTTTCAAAGTTGAGTCATTTATTTTAACTGCTTGTAGGACTCGTCAAAAAGAGTTTATATACCGAAAATCGCCTATATAAAAGTTGCATAATAAAAGGAATATTAAAAGATTAAAAATAAGAATGTTAGTTATTACAGTTTTTTGTCATTCTCAACCCCTGCCGTGTAAAATCTTAGCGTTTTTTGTTCACTATTCTTATCGTGTATCTAAATTTGGACAACTTTTGTGTTATATGGTTTTCAGTACGAGTCTTTGATTCGATCACTTGTATCAATCTTTTAGTAGTTCGTATACTTTCATTAGTGTGATTATTTTGGAACTAGTGGACATAATTGTAACAAACAGAGAGTGCCAACAAAATGCAGCGGCAGCATTCAGGTTGTATGCGAAAAGGTTTCCTCTAAGAAATCATCTGGCCCCACGAATGTTTGCAAATTTATTTATCACTTCGTGACAAAAGATTAAAAGAAAAACGAGGTCACCTGCTCAACCTGAAATATTACAAATTGAGGAAGACATTTTAGAAATGGTTGAAGATGTCCCAACAATAACTACTAGAGCCATAGCAGCTTAAGTTGAAGTTTCTCGTTAAGTGTGGAGGACAATACAACAAAAACAGTATTACCCTTATCAATATCAACGGGTACAAGCGTTACAACCTAAACATCATCCTAGAAGAGTTGCATTTTGGCAGTGGCTTCTAGAACAATTCTGCAGAAATGAAGATTTTACGAAATTAATTTTGTGTACGGACGAGGCCACATTTACACGATATGAAGTGCACAATTTCCACCACATTCATGTTTGGGCAGTAGAAAATCCGTATGCTGTAAAAAGAACTGATTTTCAACTTATAGATTTTCATTAAATGTTTGGGCTGACGTGGTAAATGGCATGCTTATTGGACCCTACTTTTTTCCACCTCGACTGACCGGTAAAATTTATTTAAATTTTCTTCGGCCACGATCTACCACAATTATTAGAAGATGTACCTCTAAATGTGAGACAGAATATGTGGTTCCTACATATTTTTGTAAAAACGGTAACCATTTAACTGCATAATGATTTTTCTTAAATAATTTTTAATAATGTAAACTAACTCTCTTATTATGCAACTTTTATATAGGTGATTATTGGTATATCAACTTCTTTTGGCGAGTTCTAAAAGATGTTAAAATAAATGACTCAACTTTGAAAATACCCTGTATATAAAGGTTTTCTTTGGAAACGCGCGGGAAACTGTTCTTCACTTTGCTTTCTGACTTTTTCTGGATTCTGTTTACTCTGTTTTTTTGTTTTACCAGTACTACCACGTGATTTCACATCGCATTTACAATTCTTTGACATACTAAATGCAGTGTCTTGCGTTCAGACCAAGTAATTACCCGGTTGACTAGTATTAGGTATTAGGGTGTATTCGGTAAAATGGGCCGAGTACCGGGTACAAACCGAGTACTCTGTGCATTCCTATTAGTAACCAAATAACCCTACATCAAGCAAAACCATCCTTTTATTTAAAGTTTTGTTCACAGGAATCAACTTGAATGCACTATATATTTTCGATGTTATTTGTTGATAACGTATTACGATGTTCTTTTATCATTAATAATACAATTCTTTCCTGTCTCGACCCATCGTGATTAAAAATGCTTTATTATATTTTTCTTTAGTATACAAATATTACTACGAATCCTGCGGAAGCGTTTCCACTTAATCGAGTTTTGCTTTACGTTTGTATCATTTATTTCTGAAAATATGTGTTTGTTTGGTAAAGCAAGGTATAAACAATATAAAGCTGTAAAAATTAGATTTGCAAATAAGTAAAATAGAACACGGTATTACTTTGATCGTTATACTACTCAATGCAAACATTTAGAAACATCTTTTAATCGCTGGATGTCCATTTTGAGATTCGAAAATACCTGATTAACCAAAACATGATTGAAGATTTTGATTTTTTTTAATTCACTGAAAACATTGGTACCATTTTAAAATCCAGTTATATTTTTCATAATACAACTAATCTGCAATTGTTTATACTGAAATTTCCATCTTTTTGCGGAACATGTGTTTAGTTTGGTTACAAACAAAACAGTTGAGCTGCTTTTTATAAATTTCATTTTTTTTGAATAGTTCGCAATTATGTGGTCTACTATTATTTGTTTATTTATTTCAGCACGCGGTGGATTGGTAGACGATGACGCGCTAGCGCAGGCGCTAAAACAGGGCCGGATCAGGGCGGCTGCTTTGGACGTACATGAGAACGAACCCTACAATGTATTCACTGGACCATTGAAGGACGCCCCCAACGTACTTTGCACACCACATGCCGCCTTTTACAGTGACGCTAGTGCCACCGAACTTAGGGAAATGGCTGCCTCAGAGATCAGGTACCTCCAGATTGTATATTGATAGGACGTTAGTTGCTGAAATAAAAAAATTACGTAACCATGTTCTTAAACAGAATAGATATTCGTACTCACATCGTTACAGCAAGTTTAGTTTTGATGTTCTAACGAATCAGAATCCCGAAATTAATGTTTGAAATACGCATATTACAACTTTTACACGACATTAACGTATCATCAAAAATTAACAAAATTCTTGAAGCATATAATTGCCAGAGCTTAAGGTACCATGCACTTGTGAATACATCTTGCAGAGCTAGAGCATTTCCTTCTTTTTATTAACTTGGTCAAATGTCGAATAGAGGTATGGAGAAAATTTATTGTGTTACTTTGCATTTTTGCTTACTTTAATCGGGGCTCGTTTCTTCTCAGTTCAATAACTGAACATTGTTTTTTTCCAGGCGGGCAATAATGGGCCGGATACCGGAGTGTCTACGCAACTGCGTGAACAAGGAGTACTTCATGGGTCCGACGTCAGCGGCGGCAGCGGCGTCTGCGGCAGCTGCGGCGGCGAGCGCTGCAGCGGTGGTGGCGGCACAACAGGCGGCCGCGGTACAACAGGGGGGGTATCCTGAAGGTACAGGTAATATATAGCTTTATTCGTAGTCGGTTTGCTGACGGCTAACAATAATAGGGTTGTTACAGAACAGCTTCTGTGTGTACTTGCAAATGCTTTTTTGATTTTTATTCATATTCCCATAACATATCCAGTTCCACCGTAAGATCAACTATTAGTAACTTAGCTCGCATAACAAATTTTATCTCCGAAATTAGACTATCAAGGTCGTGTTGATATGATATACATAGATTTCCGCAAAGCATTTGCCTCTATCGACCACTACTTACTTTTATCAAAATTGCGATCAGACGACCACATCCACGCGGCCGGTTAGATGTCGCCTTGAAAATTTGAGGTCTTCTAGCTATTTTATACTACAATGTGTAGGTTGGCTCTTGTTGTGGACTTCGTATATGATTTTTTCCCATCTATCTTTATTTCCTCAGGTTACACCCGTATCCGGATGTATGAGCATGTGTATCTACTTTTGTAGTTGCATATGTGCATTCATTTCGGGCCTGATGAAGCCAACCAGCAGAAATACGTATCGCTCGGGTTACCTATCCTATTTTCTGCTCGAATCCACTTTCCTCCTTTTCGCGGATTTTGCCCATTATTTTCCTATTTTTTTGTTATATGATTATTTTCTCTTTATATATATATATATACAGATTCCGATGGTAAGGTCCTCCACTCATTAGCTTTTTAGAGTCGATAGGTCCTCCGTTGCGCTAGGTCCTCCGTATATGGAGGACCTATCGCAAATTTCACCAGTGGGCCTGAGGGGCTCCCCTTTGTCACCCGGCAAAATTCCAGAGGGATGACCCAGATCGTGTTTTTTGTTAAATTTGGATAACGTAGTTCCGGGCTTTGCCGCGCCGATTTGGTGGACTCACAGTCGCGCGGGTATTCAGCCCGTATATTTTCAATCAAGTCTACAGTGGATAGGTCATCTGCCGGGTATTCAGTATCTAGATCGAGGCTTTTAGGTCCTCCTTAATATTGGCATCGCTGTATTAGGCATTTATTAGAATTGTTTTGCAAGAGGATTGGATTTTCATCTTCCTATGTCTGCTATGGCCCAGTTCGCCGTCAAGTATTACACATGAGCGGCCGTGACCGGGAGTACCGTAATGCAGCGATGATATTTGTTCGAATGTAATGCTCAAATCCAATATTCTATGGAATAAAATGAAAGATGTTATTTTTGTTTTACGATTTAAGACAGATGCCTTTACTTACCGCGCCTATTGACAGGAATTATTGTAATCATAAAAAAATCTGCTTTAGGTTGCTGTTATGCCATGCACAAAGAATCTTGAATATTCTCGGAAATCGGTGGAGTAACAGCAGAGTGGTTAACAAACGAAGAAAAAAATGTTCAAACTTCGCTTCCGGATGTTTCAGACATTCCTCCAAGAAAATTTTAGGGCTGTAAATTTTGGTGGCGGGGGTTACGGGGGGCGGAGCTAGTATTAAACAACAATATTTTAGAGCTTCCTAATCGTTTTCCGAATAATTTTTGGGGGAAGGGGTGCTGAGGGAATGAGGTGAATCTGGATTTGGCGAGGTGTTAGTTAAGGTATTCTATTTTCAATAAATCTTCAGATTGACTTCCTGAACATCAATCACCCCGCTTCAGAGGTAGTTCTTATCGGTGATTTTAATGCCCATAATGAGCTTTGGTTTGGCTCAAACAAGACCGATGCAGCAGGTCGTGCAGTCGAAGCGCTCGCTCCTACTCAAGGGCTGACCCAGCTGGTGACGAGCCCTACTTTTTCCCCCGCGTCTCGACACACGTCATTAGCCTGCTGGATCTCTTTCTGACCACGCATCCTGTCCCTTACAGCACTGCTGTCCTGTCCCCCTTTTGTAACTCACACCACGTTGTTGTGGAGGTTAGGTTTCGGTCACAACCCGCTGTGGCAGCAGAAACTCGTACAGGCCGCAAAACTTGACATTACGGACATCCGAACTGGGAGGGGCTCAGAGGCTTCTTCTCTAACTTTCCTTGGAGAGATGTCTGTTCTACTGACGCGGGTGCGTCGGCTGTCTGTTCTTCGATAACAGAAATTATCCATGTCGGAATGGAGGAATACATCCCTCACACAGTGAAGGTGCCTAAACCAGGGTCCAACGGCTGGTTTAACAAATCGTGTGACACTGCTCGCCTGCAAAAGATCAAGGCACACAGAACCTGCTTACAAAACTCCACTGTAGAGAACAGAGAAGCCGGCGTCGAGTCCAGAAACAAATCTAACGAAGCGGTTCGCAATGCCAAAAACAAGCACGATCTAAAATTTAGGCACAGGGTAATGTCGCAGCGCAATGTCAGTCGGTCTTTCTGGACGCTGGCCAAGCAGATTGAAAAGAACTTCTCACACAGTAGCCTTCCACCACTTACGTGTCAGGATGGAACTATTGTATTCGACTCAAAGGCCAAGGCGGAAGTGCTAGCCAAGATCTTTGCTGCCAACTCCACCATGGACGTCCCCCCGACGCCTAAGTGCCGTCAATTCAAAGAGTTCCCTACACTATGCGGGAGGTAACAATCAGGCATAAGACCGCAAGGCGAGTGCTCTTGTCGCTCGACATCAACAAAGCTTCTGGTCCGGACGGGATTCCTACCATTGTACTGAAGAGGTGTGCAGCGGAGCTTGCTCCAGTTCTTTCGTGTCTCTTCCAGATATCTTATGAATCCGGCACCTTCCCAGAAAACTGGAAATTTGCTCGTGTAAAACCCATCCCAAAAAAAGGATCTAAGACCGACCCTTACAACTACAGGCCTATAGCTCTGCTTTCTGTTATAAATAAGGTGATGGAGAGGTGCATAAATCGCGAGCTTCTGGACTACCTCGAACGCCACAGCTTGATTAGCGACAGGCAGTATGGATTCCGGCACCAACGATCCACAGGGGACCTCCTAGCTTACGTCACGCAATTGTGAAGTAAACTCATCCAGTCTTATGGTGAGGCTCATGTCGTTACTCTTGACATCACGAAAGTGTTCGATCAGCTGTGGCACGCTGCCCTCTTAAGCAAACTTCCATCCTATGGCCTCCCAGAAAAGCTTTGCAGATGGGTGGCTCACTTTATCTCTGGCCGCAAGATATCCTTAGTAATTGACGGGTTCTCCTCTTCATGCCCACAACGTCAACGCGGGTGTTCCTTGGGGATCGGTCTTGGCTCCGACAGTTTCTCTTACATATCCACGACCTCCTTTCCTGCACGATCAACCCAATCCATAGCTTCGCTGATGACAGCACTCCACATGCAGGAATTCAGAGTGACAAGCCGATCTCTGCCGCTGAGCTGGAAAAAAGAAGACTAGCGAGGACTCCCTCTCTGACAAGAGACCTGGAGGCTATCACTGCTTGGGGACGCAACAATCTTGTACAGTTCAATGCTTCCAAAACACAGTACTGTACTTTGACGAACCAAAAAGCGTCCTAGCGCTCATCCGGTTTAGATGGATGGCCCACTTCTGCCAAAGAGCCATCCAGATCACCGAGGACCTGATCGGGCACGAACACGTCTCGTCAATAGCTGCAGCTGCTGGGAAAAAGCTAGGCTATTTGTTTAGGGCTAGGAAGTACTTTTCTCCGCACGATCTTCCCATTCTATACAAGGCCCAGATAAGGCCTAGCCTCGAGTATTGCTCACACGTTTGGGGTGCTGCCGCCCCGACTACATTTTCCATGCTCGATGCTGTCCAGAGGAGGGCGGTCCGACTGATCGATGACTTTTCTCTAAAAGACACTCTCGGGACTCTTTCGCACCGGTGGGCCATCGGCGATCTAGCTCTTTTCTACCGCTATACTAACGGGCTTTGCTCCGCAGAGCTCTCTTCCATGATGCCACCGCGCGATGTGCCTGCCAGACATACCCGTCCGACTTTGGCGTCCCATCCTAACCGTGTCGAACTTCGTACATCCAAAACTGGCCGATACGCACGCTCCTTTGTCCCGAGGGTGTCGAGATTGTGGAACAATCTACAAGAGTAGTTCTACTAACCTTAGGCAGTTCAAAAATCGAATTTTCAAAATTTCTTTGGGATCATCATAGCAGCCGCGGTGTTCCGGCATTTAGGCTTCTGCCTGCGCGGCTACTTCGATATAAAAAACAAAAAAAACCTGTGATATTCGTTATCCTCCGGAATCTTCGTAAATACATGAGACATCTGAATTCCAAATAGAAAATTAGGATAAGGGCTTTATCTCATTTTATGTCTATGACACGGTTCATCAATGTATGGTAAATATAGATTTAAATTACTTAACACGATAAATCAGTTGATTCGTTTTTACGATATGTATGTAAAATACATATATTTTGCTTCGGAAACGACAAGCATGCGGTTATAGGAGCGAAGGATACACCCAGTTTAAATTTTAGTTACGAAGGTAGTCATTCATAACTGAATATATAATGTTGAAAAAATAAAACCACTAATACCAGAACAGAAGGTTTGGGATCTACCATACTAAATATTCATAAAAAATAGTGACATTCGTTAGCTTTAATTTAAAATTACTTCATTTTTTAAGCAACAACGGTTTTACAGTGAGATGAAGGGAATTATGTTTATAAACGTAAATTTTATCACAAAAGTATCACAATGTCCCCACTTAACAAAATAATTGTCATTAAAATTCTAATATTCGTTGAGTCATGACATCAGCTTTTCAACCCGTAAATAACAGCTTATTCCATAATTCATCATTTTCCAATCGTTTTCTTAACGTTTGGGAAAGTTAGAAATCTGTTGGTGCTAGATCAGGGTTGTATGGCGCATTTTCGAGTCAATGGATTAGTTCAGAATGCCGTGCCATATAGTCCCAACAAAGCACCAATCGACATTTTTTCTTTATTTTATCTATAACAAAAAAGTTTAAACATTTCTTAGCGAAAGGTGATTCGAATGATGCATGAACCTAAAAGGTAGGAAGGTAATAGAATAATACAAGCCCGAGTTAGGAGACTTCAATTGTATTATCTTAAGAGAAATAACTGAAACT